CACACAACGATTGCTTCATACAACGATGAATTCACACAGCGATGGGCTTTTTTGAGGAATTTCCCCCATCGTTTAACGATGATCTCTATGGGGGAATTTCACTTAACGATGTCCCTTTTTGCTCATTTAAAAGTGTCTTAAAATGTTTGAAACCTGTTTTAAATGCTTGGATTCCATAGTGCACCTTGTGAAACATGTGCAAACTTAATTTGGTTTTGTTCTGAGTCTTCATTAATTTTTGGTGATTTTTTTATTTTCCCCATTTAAATCAATTGAATGGACAGTTCAATGCATTTAAATAGGGAAAACAAAAAACCACCAAAAATTAAGGACGACTCAGAACAACATCAAATTAAGTTTGCATAGGGTTCAGGAGGTGGGCTAACGATTGCAAGCATTTAAAACCTGTTCCAAACACTGTAAGGCACTTTTACAGGAGCAAAAAAGGACTTCGCAAAGCCATTGAAATGTATTGAGTCGGCTTCAATACATTCCAATGGAGGAAACATTGTTTCACTCAACGATGTTTCCTATGGGTTTTTTCACTTAAAGACGGCAATCTGTTCCAATTGGAACGGATTAACCGGTTTTCAATTCATTCCTATGGGAAATGGTGTTTCACAGAACGATGTTTCACACAACGTTGATTTTTTTGGAACCAATTAACATCGTTGTGTGAGGCACCACTGTATATCAGTTGGTTTTGTGTTGCCATTTGGGCACTCGGGCTCCAAAAGGTTCGCCATCACTGCCCTAGATGATGGCAAAAGAAGGAAGGCTTCCCACACGCTTCCAGTGCTGGAAAGGTCTTCGCAGATCCTTGTCCTCTGCCTTGACCGCTGATTCGGTCTTGCTTATGCTCTGGACTGCTGGCTCACAACAGCCAGAATCTTGTTGGCTGACACAATCACGTAACGATTGTGAGGTCTGCAGGCTCTGAGACTGCCCACTGGGAATCCTTTGACTTTGTGGCCAGTCGTACGACGGCCATTCTGGAAAGCAGGGGAAAAACGCTGCTTTTACCCGCTGAGTAGCACTTGATGGGATTCTAGGCACTTGCTTTTGTTAACTTGTTCATGTGATGGTTGCAAACTTAATCTGAAAGCTGCCCGAGAGCCCTGGCTGTTGGGCACTATAAAAAGACCATCAACAAATACAAAATGAAAATAAACACACACACAGAGAGAGAGAGAGAGAGAGAGAGAGAGAGAGAGGAAGACACAAGCTTTCTCTCAACAACATGAGGACTAAAAGTTGTTTCCATAGATATTCCTCACTGACACCCTGCACCACACACAAAACTCAGGGTGTCATTGTGCCTCTGTGACCACCACCATCACCCCAAATTCCACAGAGGCAACTTGGTTTTCTTCTGGGCTAAACTTGCCATTCCCTCTTCAATACCCGCCTCGCCTGATACGGCATCAAGTCGTCTGCTCTTTTCCCTGAAGGGTCTCTATTCACTTTAGGCTCAATTTGTTATTTTTATTCATCACAATATGGAACCAGCCCTCTTTGACCTTCCGCCTCAGGATCTTGTTTCAGGAGAGCTGATGCCAAACCTCAGAGGGTCCACCCCGAACCCTTCCCTTTATGTTGCCCTTCCGGCAGCCGGGCTTGCCTCGCTCGACAGAGAGTCTCACGTGGAAGCAGAGACCAAGCAGGGAGGCGCACAACATTCAAACCGGCCTCGTGGGCGCCACCACGAAAACCACGAGAGATCCCCATCCCAGTGGCCAGCCGGACCCGCCTCCAGGTCGGAGAGTGCCAGAAGGCTGTGGCTAAATCAGACCCCACAGCCGCATCCCTTCCCTCCTGGGAGCAGGTGACCACCTCCGATTCAAACCAGACTTTCAGGCAGGGGGAACTACCTCACCCTGAGGGCAAAGGAAAGGGGTCGGAGCTCGAGTGCCCCCCCACACACACACATATACCCCACCCCGGCTGTGAGCTTGAGGGCCTCGCCATCAGGGGGTCCCCGGTTGGGAACAGACCTGGCGCTGCTCTCTGCCTGGTTCGGCCCTTCCCCTTCCTGCCTGTGGCTAGCTGGCTTCAGGCAACCCGCGGGGGGGGGGGGGGGGGGGGNCACCACCACCACCACGGCCCGGGGTCACAGCAGGCTTGGCCCAAGGCTGGCAGAAAGCGAAGCCTCGGAACCAGGCCGCTCTCCCGGAACGGAGCTGAACTGAGCCTCCGGAGTGAACGGTTCGTGGAATCGCGGGCCCTTCGTTTCCCCTCTTTGCTTGCACTGCCGTGACACAAACGGTCTCCTTTGGCACTTCTGATCGCCCGCTCTGGTAGCAACGATGAGTCGCGCAAATGACTGGGGCGGATTTGTCACGATTCCCTCCACGTCCTCCTGGGGCAGCCCGCCTCCTCGTGTGTTTTCACCTGTTCCTCTGATGGATCATCCTTCGTCATCCTCTTTATTATTAACAGAGCACAACACAGTGTGTGGGGCCGCAGGGAACAAGAGGGGGAGGTCAGATCCCCTGTCCTCCTGAGCCCACACGTCATCGTCACAGGAGGAGGGGAGAGAGGGACCGGGGGGGGGCAAAGAGCGACCCACTCCACTCCACTCCACCCCACTCCACCACGCAGCCTCTGTTTCGGGAAGGGAAGGGAAACTATGGCCTCGGCCCTGGGATGAGGGACGCCAAAGGAGAGTCCCAAAGGAAGAGAGGGGAAGGGGGCCACACAGGTCACCGAGGGCAGCCGAGGGACCCCACGGCACCTGCTGAGGTGGGTGGGGGGAAGGGGGAACAGGACAGCAGGGGCAGATGGGTCTTGTGCTCCCAAGGCAGAGCAGCAAGGAAGGCGAGGCCACAGCAGACTGCAGAGTTTGCGCGGGACCAGGAGAAGTAGGGTCTGACACAACGTGGACAATTTGAAAAAGCCAGTGATGGCTGGGGCGGGCAGGGGGAGGGAAGAGTTCCAGACCCCGAGGAGTCCTTGCACCTTCCTTCCTGACAAAGGCAGAAGGGCCCGCCTGGTGCTTTCCAGATGCTCCTTCGTCCCCCTTGGAAAGGCCGGGACGTCTTTCGGGGCTCCCTCTCCAGGATGTCTCCAGGGTGGCAAGGCAAGGCTTCAGAAGAAGTCAGCAGGACCACCACCACCACCCCGTGTCTACCCTCTTAGGACTACGCCCTCCCTCTGGCCCTGGAGACCTCCGTGCTCACTTGCTAGTCCATCCTCTGGGAATTCCCCCCCCTTCTTCATCCCTTTCTGGTATTTCCTGTTCAAAGCCACACACACCCCCAAACTCTTATCTGCAATTCTGACCCTTTCCCAGTATGGCTGCCAAAGCCCCAGTATGGGAGGGACTTCTTTCGGATTCTGTAATTTTTGCATTTTGATTCTTCTTGTGTTTCACAGTTCAGATGATCCTGCCACAATGTGACCCCTCTGGAGAGGGGAAGATGTGCTCTGAAACCTATACACTCAGTGAAGAAAGGGATTCCCAGAGGATGGGGTTAGCAAGACAGCCACCTTCTGGACCCCTGACAGAAGGCACAAGTCCAGGGGAAACGGCACGGTGGAGAAGCAGAAATGGGGAACCATCGCGAGGTTCATGGGAGAGAGAGAGAGAGAGAGAGAGAGAGGGACGGCGTCACACAGCAGAACAGCCTGCACAATATTTCAGTTCCTGAAGGAGACAAAGACACCTCGCCAGTCTTTTCTCACTGTGGCTTTCACAATTCTTGTGAAATGTCATGGAACTAAGCACACACACACATGCACGCACACGCAGAAAGGGCAGGCTGACTAGTCAGAGAGACACAAAGAACCCATCCAAGGCTGCTCTTACAAAGCAATGATCACTTCTGCATTTTCCAAAACTGTGCATTTTATAGAAAGGCATGACAACAAGACTCAAAAATTTCTCTGCCACACAACAGGAAAAACACTCCCAACTATCTCATGCTGGGGGGGGATGCTTTTGTGGATGACCCAAGGTGGGAATGACACTCCTTTTGCGGGTGCATAAAACCAAAGTTCAAATCTCACCTCCCCAAGGGAGCTCCTTTGAGAAGGTTCTCTCTGCAATCACACGTGGCCCCCCCATTAAGGTGGCACCCTCCAGATGTTTCAGACTACAGTGCCCACCATCCCCACTCAGGTGGGAGGGGGGGGCCTTTTCACCACAGTATGACTGAGAGTGAAAATACTGGTGATGTTAATACTGGTAAGCCAGAGACGAGCCTGGAAGGACAAGTGGCCTGGAAGCGCAAAGGTTGCGCACCCGCCCTGTATCCAGAGGGTCGCGCACACACTCCTGCAGGAGAGGGCAGGGCTCCATCTGAAGAGTCCGGAATGGCCTCCCATTTTCAGAAGGATCCCACAGAGGTACAGAGAGGGACAAGGCCAGCAGTGCTTTTCACTACACCAGCCGAATTGAGGAGGAGAAGACGCACGAGCAAGGCTACTCTTGGCGACACCTTGGGGCCAAGCCAACAGGGCTGCACCCGGGAGCTTCCAGAGCCTCCGACTGCTTCGCTCGGGGTGGAAAGGGCACAGCCACACAAAACCCAGCAGAAGCAACAGAAGGGACAGATTTCCCAATTTGTCTTTCCCGTTTGGAATCTTAAGTCTTTAGCACGGAATTCAAAACTCAAAACACTTCAGACTTTTTTGGTGCCTTTTGAGGGCTTTGATTTTGACAGCTGTCAAATATGAAATTTCATAAGTTGTCAAAACATTAAATACTACTGTGTGTCAACTCTCAAATAATGTCAAATATAAAGTCCAAATTAAGAATCTAAGCACTCTGCAGAAAGAGAGGCAAGGATGTCTCCCTCGTCCAAGCCTTCTGTTCCCACCGCCGAGGCCAACGCGGTGCCCCTGGGGAAGCCCGTCCGTGGGACAGGGCAGAAGCAGCCCCTTCTTGCTGTGGGATCCAGAGCCAGACCAGGGCTGGCAATCATAAAAAGGACACCGGTGGCTCTGCAGGTTCTCTTAGCTTGGTGAAGTCTGAGCAGTTATTCATTCACTTGGATTACCTCCTTGTTGGTGACTCCTGGGGGCAAAGTCCCATGTTTATAATCTTCCAGCAACTGCACTGCTTCTTTAAGGCGACTCTGCAAAAAGAGAATAAGTCACAGTACTGTTAGCGAATGCTCTCCACCTCAAGAGCTCTCCCTTAGTGTTGGTTCAACTGTGGATTTCCTACACGGGCAGGAAACTGGGCTGGGTCACCTTTGGCACCCCTTCCAGCATGACAACCCTGTGACTCTCTGTAGGGCTGTGGTTCCTA